CCCATGCTTCTTGTGCTGTTTCTGCTCCCATGATCCTTGAGAAAATATCATCTGTTACAGCACTGTGAATATATGAGAGGGCTTTGTATGAAGCTTGAACATAGTCAGCATGTTGCTTCATTTGGGCTACAATTGGATTGTTTGGCAGCATAGGAGGATGAAACCCATCTTCTACAGATTCCCACACACCATTACCTTTTAGAAAGGCCTTCATTTTGATAGCCCAAACACTGTAATTTTCTCCTGTGAACATAGGAGGATTAAAAAGTGTTGAAGAATTGTTTGAAGACATGGCTGTGTTTTTTTTTTGTTTACACAGCTTCTCTCCCTCACTAGCACTCGTGTTTGCTCTCTCTCTCACCAGAATCTGATCTGTTTTGCTCTCACAGGCCCCTCAAGACAATTAAGCTCTGATACTAATTGTAAGTTTTTTCAGCATAGTAAAAGAACAGAAACTGCAGAACCAGAAACTTTCAGAACAAGAGCTTCTCTGATATGGAGCTCTCTTTTCATTTCAGATGAATATATCAAGACATAAGAGTTGCTAAAAATATAAGCAACTCGTACATATCAGTTTTATAAAAGAAAACTACCAGAAACCATAGACCTTAACTGCAGAAAACTAAAAAAAACAGTTACAAATTAAAAAACATAACTGATATTTGCTAACTTCAACAGCTTCCATGGGAGTGGATCAAATCCCCGACCTTGGAGATAATCACGCAAGGTCCCATGCTTCATGTATTCATGCACTAGGATTCTTTCATTTCCCTCATAGCAAAACCCAATCAGAGAAACAAGATGTTGGTGGTGTAGTTGGCTTAGCAACTGCACCTCAGTTAGGAATTGACAAGGTCCACCACCAAAATTATTTGGTTTCATGCGTTTGACAGCAAAAGTCAAAAGCCCCATTATCTATGAGCCCTTTGTATACAATGCTAGATCCACCTTCACCAAGCCTCAAGCTTTCGTGGAAGTTGTGAGTAGCAGCTTTGAGCTCAGCTAGTGAAAATTGGTGGCAGAGTCATCTGGAAGTGCTGCGACTAGTCTCTTGGTTGATTTTGCTTTTCTTCCTGTTGTATTTTTTATCAAAGAAAATGGAGAGAATTTCGGGAGAAGAAGATGAAGAGCAGAACACATAAAATGAAGAGCAGTGTATCACTCCCAACTCAAATTTTCTCATTACAATCTCTCCTATTTATAGGAGAATACAAACTCAATTCAAAATTCAAATCTAAGCAACTATTTGACATTAAAAAAATAATAAAAGTACACTTGAAATTTGAAAAGTAACAGCCACTTTTTCCCACATGCTTGCTGTTACTCTGCAGCCACTTTTGCAGCTTTCATTTCAGATGCATTTGCATTTCATTTGCTGCTCGTTGCAGCCTCATTTCATCAACATTTGCAGCTTAGCTTCCTGCACATTTTTGCTGTCATTTTACAGCTCCATCTTCATCATATTTGCAGCTAAATTACTGCCATATTTGCTTTCAAATTGCAGCTTCATTTGCTGTCAAATTGCAGCCTCATTGCTGCCATTTCATGGCAGTTTCATTTCATCATTTTTGCAGATTTTAATGCCACATTTCTAACCAAAATTCCAACACTTCCCCTAACTTTCTTAAAAATTTCAGAGAAAACTCTGGTGAGAGTTCTCTCCAGTTCCCAAGAAAGGACATGTGAGAGGAATATGATATGTCATTTGTGGAGGATCATCTGTCATTTTTATAATTCTTGGCTACTTCCACACACATATAAGGTAATT